CAGGATTTACTTTGAAGCCTAGCTCCGTAAGTTGATCTAGAAGCAGGTCACATAGCTGTAATGCTTCCTGTAGTTGCTGTTTGTCGTCGAAGTGCATTTGCAGAAGCGTGTCGTCCGCATACATTGTGAGGATCCTCTGCAGTGCGGCCATGTCACACTGTTCTCCTAGTCTGCGAAACAACAGGAAGGTGGCAAACGCAAAGAGTGACGGGGCTAGTTTGCATCCCTGCTTGATTCCTCGTCTCGTGGCAATGCTGAATGCTTGATCGCTGGCTGTCATGTCGTAGAGGGCCTGAATGTGAAGTTTCCCTACCAGCCCGATTAGGTATGGGTCCGCGTCTGCTAGCTCCAGGGATTCTCTTAAGCGTCGTGCAATCATTTCTGGGCCTCGGGGGATTGCACCTCTGGGCGGTGGGGTTTTAAGTTTAGGGCGGGATTGGATTCGGTTGAAAACTACTCCAAGTCCCACCATTGCCAATGCCAAAAACAAGACCTCAACCCGCAAAGCTTTAAACCCTAAACAGGCCCTAAACCCTATAAACCCTAAACTCCCTACAACCCTAAACCCTAAACCCCTCAACCCCTACAACCATCCCGCTTCAGTCGGTCCCTCCTCTGGGGAGCGTCTGAGCCTGGCCTGGGCCGTTCAACCCTTATATATATATATATGTGTATATATATATATATCACTGTGGCTCGCGCTCGCGCAGCGTCTGTTCTGCGCTGTCACAGCGCCTCGAGCTTCTTTGCGCGCTCTCACAGCGCCTTCCTACAACGAGGGATCGCGCTGTCACAGCGCCTTGATTGGGTTTCTGCGCTGTCGCAGCGCCTTGTATAGGGCTTGCCTGCAAGGCCCTGGCAGGATGCTTGGAGGTAATGGCAGATGCTCGAGGAATGTTATAATTACAGCAATCCATGATGAAGGGAGACTTGGTTTACTTTCATATAACAGCAGCTATGGCCTGGAAGTGGTGGATAGATAGATCCTTTTTAGACTTATATAAGCGGCTTTAGGGTTTCTGGGCTTATAAAAATGCGAAGCTTGGAACCGTTGGGGTGGTTGCCCGAAGCTTATCTAAACGCTCAGGGTTGTTGAGGATATAACTCTCTATATACTGGATCCCTCAAGCCCCTGCCTTTTCACCTTAAACCCTAAACCGCTCAGGCCCCAAGCTTTACGTCCCAATACATACCCCAAACCCTCAACCCTTCGAACAAACCCCAAATCTTAGCCCAGGCGGCCCAACAAGATTGGGGGCCCATGCGGGCAGTAGATCACGCAAAAGGAAGGCACACCTGGGCCGACAGTATCGCAAAAGCAGCCGCCCTGGCTCTTACTGCAAAGGCCGGCCCACACAGATTTGCTCGCAATATCGTTCTTTTTCATTCTGCCTGCACGTCTCGCAGAATCTGGGTGACTAGGGCTTCGTCGCCATCTTTTCCCCTGGGCTCATCGAGGATACCACTTACAACAGCGCAGAGAACGAAGCCTGTCACTCGCACCTGCTCCACTGGCCACATCAACTGCGCTGTCTACCAAAAAAACGGATGGCTCATCATGCTTGTTGACAGCAACACCATGGCACACTGGGCAGGTGGTGAACGTGTACAAACGTGGGAGAACTATGCACTCTGCTGCAGTGTACTCTTGAAGTCTCGAAGATCACAGCTAGGGTGCCTATACAAGGTTTCAAGCTACATACAGACAGCAGCAGAAGGAAAGCTGATTCCCACGCATCACATCGAGCGACAGTTGTCGCAGTCTTCTGTTGCTTCGACCAGGAGAACTGGGCCGATCGCCACAGTCGTCTAGGCCGAGAGCTTCAGGCTCAGTCCCCGTATGATCAACAGGTTTACCGTGGTTGCCGTCTGAAACTCCCAACTCGAGGTTGAGAACTCGTGCTGTCCGTTCAGGCCCACGATGACATCGTCGACCTGGACTGCCCACCCTTGCAGGCCATTTGACTCCTGCATGCGGTTCCATCGGTCGATGAGGCCACCTTGGAAGATCCTGTGCACGCGTGCTGCCGAGTGGTAGCCTAGGCCGGAAACGGCTTCCAGACGGATCCCGAGCTTCTCCTCCCCGTTTCTGAAGACCGTGACGCAGAAGCTGTTGGCTTGCGAGGCCCGGGATTTCTGGGAGCGGGAGCCCTCCCATTCGGCATCCTGGAAGCCCGTGTCGGGCACGTGGAGAGTTTTCGGCAGCCGTGAAGCCGAGGTCCAGCAGGCTGCTCGGCTGCCTGCGGTCATTTGTGCAATCATCTCTGCTCTTATAGTGTTAGCAGAGAGGAACCCCAATAACAACCAACCGAGTGTAAGGACGGACATGATGCGGGAAAGTTTGAAGAAAAAACCCCTATATCTCAGCCCAGGAGTCGCGGCTCCACCCAACAAATATCTTGGTCAGTCCCTGGACAGAGCAAACTTATGCTTTCCGTACTCTTCTCGCCAAGGGCACACTCAGCAGAAAAAAAACACGCCCTGCGTAGTATGAATAGTAGGAGCTATCTGGGCGCCTTCCTCAATAGGTCTTGGGAGATAATGTTGATGATATGAATCTGCATTACCTCAAGGACCCTAAATATATGAGAATTAAGGCTGTGGCGGGAATGGGCAACTGCAAATCGTGGTCTCGGGTAGCGCCGTGCATGTGCGAGTATGCCTGAGTATGTGTGAGTATGCGCGAGTATGCGCGAGTATGCACGACTATGCGCGGGCATGTGCGAGCATGCACAAGCATTATATCAGCTATATAGTACATGTGATACTGTACACTGTTGCTATACATTGTAGGCCACTCCGCCGTACTCGAGCATATTGCAACATACTCGAGCGTAGTCGAGCATACTCGAGCGTATGGGCGAGTATAGCCGGAGTGCAGTCGCCCATCGCATCCGCAATGGGAATTATGCTATATTCTTCATTAAGGGTGACGCAGGATTTATATCACCAACCGTAGTACTCATAGTAATGCTTTCTTGGAGCACCCTACAGTGTCCTTGAAGTGGGGTGCGTCCCCGCCTGGTGGCTCGGAGTCGTCGGCGAAGTCGTCGGAGTCGGGGTGGCAGGAAGGGGGGACTTGGCCCCGCAGCAGGCGGGCCCAGGTGGCGCAGACGTCCTCTTTTTCGTCCTCGTGCCAGTGGACGCCATCGCTGCAGAGCTTCCACTTCTGCACTTTCTGACGTAAGTCTGTCACGTAGAGACCTTCACTCTCCACAAGACTTCTCACATATTGCAGGTTCTGGTCATAAGCGGAGGAGAGCTGCAAAACCGGAAACTTTGCAGCATAGCCGCCTATCACAAAAACGGACCGCTTCGATTTCAGCTTTACAGCCTGGATGAACTCTTTCCAGTCCGCCTGTACTTTCTTTGTGATCGGAGCCGTCATGATGTCGTTTCCGAAGTAGGACACGCCTAGTGAGTCAACTTGCGGGCCCGATTGGATCGTGTGCAGGAGTTCGGCCACACCTGCAACCGCTATCGTCTGGTACCAGACTTGGGAATCAAGCAGCTCCCATAGCCGGTGTCCCAGTTTCTTGGGTCTCCCAAAAAGGAACTACTGAGGGGCCTATGGCATATGGGCAGGGCCCCAGGGAGGCGGAAGACCTGGGCACCGTCCGAGAACCTGACTTGCTCCGCTTTCTTGTCCGCCTTAGCCTTCTCCGCCATGACCTGCGCACACGGAGTTTTCGGGTGTTTTTCACAGACTTTGTTGTGGGCTTTTGAAGAAGTGTAGGGTTTAGGGTTTAGGTTTTAGACTCTGTTTTGGGGGTTCTTGGTTTAATGGGTTTGCGTAGGGTTTGGGCCTTCGTTTTTTTAAGGGTGGCTTTGGGTGCTTCTGCCTTTTGGTAGTTTTTTGCGTCCGATGAATCTATGAATCGGATGCAAGGATAGTATGTCATCCCTGCTTATTTTTGTGACGAGCGCCTGTGATTACAAAGGCTACCTCCCACAACGTCTTCAATTAACACGGATCATGGAACCCTGAAACAACTACTCCCACAGACTCGGTAAAGTCTAAGTCCAAAGCTTTTTAAGCCCTAAAGCATAACAGCATAAATAATAATTAGTCGACACTCTCTCACATACATACGCATGCCACGACAGATTTTTTCAGTGCATGGCGAAAGCACCGGAAGTTCGGAAGAAGCTCGGGAGAACACAAAATCTTCGAGCCGAAGGATCCAGGGGTGCCAGTGGTGCCAGTGACAACCCTGTTTCCTGAAACCCGAAACCCTGATCCGAATAGAATAAGGTACCCCATGTCTTCGGAAACTCCCAATTGGCCTCCGTCAGTCCGTTCGCCATCTTTCGGCCTCCGAGCGGGGCTTCCAATGGCGGCTGGCGGTTCACGTGATGTACCTGAAGCTGAGCGGCTGAGATCTTCTTAAGGGTGCTACCATTAAGGGCTTAGGGGCTAAGTTGGCTTCAAGACCCTTCCGAAGTAGGCACTTTTTTTGTGGCTTTAAACCCATATAGGCACCATTTTTGCACTTCGAGGCCGAGGGAGATTGTGCTTTTGTGGTGTCCGACCTTAGGCCCCAGAATTCCTGTAAATCAAAATTCAATGCTCACGGCTTACGCGTGCAGCAAACTATCTCTAGCCGCAGAGAGCTTCATGTAGCCGCATTGTGAAACTTTACGGAGAGATGGCCATACAGGTGTCAGAAGTAGAAGCTCTGCAATGCAAGCGTGTAGCCGTCGTCGTCAACGACTCGATGGAGGTCGCCTGGCCCTGGGACTCCTCTCAGATGATGGACGTCCCCTGATGCATGGCGGCATGGCTCAGGCCCTACGTTGGCAGAAAGTACACTCCCTCAGTGCCCCTCAACCCCAAAGACTTTAAAGAACCCAGCCTCGGGCTCCTCGAACGCTCATCAAGCTCCCGCCCCCGCTGCCGCTCGAGCTCCTGCTGGTCCAAGAGTGCCAGACCAACCTCCAGCCGTCGAAGCCGCTCTGACACAATCTCGGCGATCTCCACTTGCAGGACGGCCAGCTGGGGCACCGTCAGCGTCCTGAGAGCGGCTGCCCGAGCCAAAGGTCCGAGATCCCACAGAGCACGCGCTTCTTCGGACATGGCTGTGGTCTTAGTTTCCTTTAAACTAAGGTGTTCGGCATCCTCACGATTCTCATTGCGAGCTTCCACGGCCTCGCGGGGATCTACATGAAGCAAGCCTTTTTGTGGGGATATCCGAAGGTTTGAAAGTGAGTGAATGGCTTATCTGACCTGTCTCGCGGATCTGTGAGTGCATTCCCGGTACATGCTAAAGAGCTGAGCTTAAGCCCAAATGTGGCGTACATGCGAAATACATACGGCTTAGTTGTGAGGGTTTGTGTTGGTCACCTTACCACAGTCACAGTATGGACATCAGAGAGGCTGTAACAAGGGAAACAGAAGCGTTCGGGAGCTTTAGGATTCCTGCTTGTCTAACAGACCCCAAACCGGCTGTGGCTATCAGAAAAAAAATTGATCTACCCACCTCAGTAGTTCCTCTGTGGCATTATCTTATAGGATTATAAATATACACCATGAAAAGGAGCTACTTCCAGATCTCAGATGGGAGTCGATAGTCAGGTGAGGCTTCAAAGTTAAAGTGGTCTGAATGGTAGGGCTAGTGCACAGCTCCAAGTCAAGCTAGCCCGAACCCCTTAACCACCAAGTGATAACCGCAGCCCACCTCAGGCTTGGAGCTGGCCAGCTTCTCGGCCTCGGCATCTTTCTTCTCCTTCTTGGCCTTTGGCTCCTCAGCGTTAAGGATTGTGGGCTTCTCGGGCCGGACGGGTGGGATTAAGGAATAACCCTAATTTGACCCTAATACCTAAATTCCCCTAAATCCTGAAGGTTCGGGCCACTCACACTCATTTTCTCGCGAAGCAGGGTGACGCCGAGGGCCGCCTAGAGGGGCTCCGTTGTCATCTTCATAGCCCTATACAGCTAGAGCTAAGTCATAGACGATACCCTGGGCCCTGGAGCTAAGTACTTATAGCCCTAAAGCAAAGCTTGTTTATAGCCCGAGAGCTAACCTTATTTATAGCCCTAGAGCTAAGCTTATAATTATATATAGCCCCAGGGCCCCAGGGAGCCCTAGGGAGCTGCTGCCTCAGACGACCTCCCACGACTCCTCAGACGAGCTCGAGGATCCGGAGAGCCCTGCCTCTAAGTCTGCAAGTCTGGCGCGCAGCTGCTTCGCAGTGGGAGCAGGGGAGCTCGAAGTGTAGCAGCTGTTGTCATCCGAGTCTCTGTCTCTGACCTGCGATTATTAATTATAACCTTATACCCAAAACCCTAAACCCTAAACCCCAAAAAAATATAAAGCTTAAGCCCCTGCCAGGCTGCCTGTGCAACGACCTCCTTCGCCAGGCTGGCGGTCGGCACCGGACGAGGCCCTGGCCCTGGCCAGGGCCTGCGGCGGATGGACGAGGCCTGCTCCGCCTGCTCCACTGCTTTGCGCTTGACACCGCAGCCACGGGGTTCCTCAGTGACATGCGGCTTAGGGCTTAGGGTTTAGGGGTTTAGAGTTTAGGCTTTATATAGATATAGATATACATATATATATATATACATATAAATACAGTAATAATAAGTATTTTGGTTTATATAATATTAATATTTAGTATATACTTAATATACTATTAATCGATATTTGAATCCAAGCGGCTGCTGCTGTAGTGGCCTCCGGCTCCTCAGTCAAAAAAAAAATATATATATATATATATTAATTATACCCTGGGGTTCCAAATAGCCCAAATTTGAAGTAGCTATATAGGTACTATTACCTACGTTACAACCCAAAGTGGGTTATTTGTATACTTGGAGGCCTGGGGTTAGAATAATAACAAGATTATTTTCTAAGATCACATATTGAAGACTGATCCTTGAAGTTCAGCGGCTCTCACAGCCGCATCTGGCTTCTTGCCGTGGCCAGTCGAATCCTCAGTCGGAGAAGACATCAGAAATATTAACATATATATTATATATATATATTATATATATATATATACTCAAAATAATATGTTGAACATGTCAGCTATTATACCAAGCAGCTTCGATTGACAAAAGCTTGCCTGGCTGTGCACTTGTCCTGGAGCCAGGGCGGGCCTTCGACTGACGCCCCAGCGGATCGAGCGGGAGCGGAACCAAAGGTGGAGGA